TTTAGTCACAGACCTACATAGAAGGTGGGTCAGCAAAAAGGTTTACCAACAACAGTGGTACTTTGCAAAATCAGTCCACGCGCATAAACGGTCGTTTATTGACAATGCGCCCTAGCAATAGAATCTTTAAAAAAACTAAAAAATGTATAAAGACCTTAGAGGATGGAAAAAAATAAAGACCTTAGACTATGGAAACTTTTTCCGTCCTCTAAGATAAAGGCCCTGTCACTGTCTGGTTAAGACTTATCTAAAAATAAATACCTTGCTGCTACTGAAACGTTGACGTTGTTGAACAATATTAACTGACATTAATTTATTAACAGTATTATTATATATTATTAATTAACATTAATTGAAACTGATACTGGCCCAAGCCTAGTGGCCGCCATTAAGGAAATAGAATAGAATTAGGTCCCAGTCACAAAGTACATTGAGTCCCAGTTATCGTATCTCTTGTTAGTTTGTGCAGTTATCTTTTCCATCCTTCAATTCCGGTTTTTATTCTCAGTCCTTCACTGTTCATGCGGTCAGACCTTGGTCAGACTGTGACAATTACTGTTCATGACAGTAAATCCTTAGCAATTTTTAAACTGAGAGTTAAGAAGCACTGTTTATCGACTACTCCATTCATTTTATAGGTATTATAATACGAAGTAATATGTATTTATCTATTTAAATAGTTTTAATAATTTAATGTTTTTGATATTGTTTTTGTTTATTACATTTTCTTTGTTGTGCACCTAAGCCCTCTACGCCTAAACTCGTTAATGTAATTATTGGCTTCTGTATCTAGGTCCACAGGAAGAAATTTCTGTTAGAAAGAAGTACCTACCTTTTGTTTGTGTTTTCCTTGTTACTAATTTTTATTTATTTATTTATAAAGCATTGGGTTCAGAGTCATCAGCTTAATGGTAACAAATAATCAAGAAACGCACAACGTAATTCGTGTAAAAAATTTAACTCCTTGTTACTAAATGTGTTTTTGTTTTTTCTGTACAATAAATTATTCAATAAATAAATAAATCATCGGTTAAAAGGTAAAACTCACTAATAGCCTAATTGGCCAAAGGGAGATAATTAAGATTTTGTATTTTTTCATTATGAAAAATCACTAAAGGACTGGTATGTATTAAAACATGAAGGACACCACAGACTTACTGAATTTTTCTTGTCATAGATGTTCTTCCCAATAAAGCAAAATTGAAAAAATCTAGTTTTTGAACAAAATGTCACTTAATGAGTTTGACCTTTTAACCGACGAAATGTACTTTTAAATTGTATGAATTTAATTACGTTAAACCACCCCGCTGAAATCGTGGAAATAAAATGTTTACATATTAATAACATTTTAGCTGGTGGTAGGTATATATGTACTCATAATAACAAATTTTTAAGCAAGAAAAAGTTCAGAATTGGAGCGAAAAAACCATCCAAAATACGCTGTGGTATGACTAAAATCTAGATATGCTAATCAAATCAATTATAATTTGAGTTGTGGCTTGGCAAGGTAACCGATACGAGTTTTAAATATATACATATATATAATAGGGGTTAAAGTATGAAATTGCCGATTTGTACTGAAAATCTAAATTGTTTATTTTTTAAATTTTTAACAAATTTATTTAATCAAAATAGTTGCCATTATTATCTATACATTGCTGCCATCTAATGGGAAGGTTATTAATGCCTTTGCGATAGAACTCCGACGATCTAGACTGCACAAACTGTGTGAAAGCATTTTGTACTGCCTCCTGGGAAGAAAACTTCTTGTCACGTAGATAATTGTCCAAATCACGAAAAAAATGGTAGTCCGTTGGAGCAAGGTCTGGTGAATACGGAGGATGACGAATGGTTTCTAACTGCAGTTCCTGAAGGGTCAAAATGGTTTCTCGTGCTGTGTGAGGTCTCGCGTTGTCGTGGAGCAATAATGGTGAAGATCGATTCATGAGTCGGGGCTGTTTTACTGCTAGTTTTGTCAACATGGTTCGGAGTTCGGCACAATAGACATCTGCCGTTATTGCTTGACCAGATCGGAGAAGACTATAGTAAATAACACCATGCTGAGACCACCAAACAGTTACCATTACCTTTTTATTGGTAAGTTTTGGTTTAGGACACTGTTGTGGCATTTGACCTGGGGTCAGCCATTGCATTTTTCTTTTCCGGTTATCATAAAGAATCCACTTTTCATCACATGTTACAATTCGATCCAATATTCCTTCATTTCTGTACCGGTTCAACAAGGCAACACATGTTTCAACACGCGTTTCTTTCTGCAGATCAGTCAAATCATGAGGCACCCATTTTTCGTATTTTTTTATTTTATTGATTTGACGCAAGTGAGTCAATATTGTGGGTAAGGTAACGTTAAACCATGCCGCTAATTCCTGGGTAGTTTGACTAGGATCGGCTTCCACTATCTCTCTTAATTCATCGTTATTCACCTGTGTGGGCGGTCTTCCTCGTGACTCGTTCTTTAAGTCGAAATTTCCATCACGAAAGCGTTTAAACCAAAATCGCACGGTGCGTTCATTAGTAGACCCCTCTCCAAACGCAGCATTGATATTGCGGGCTGTTTCTGCCGCGTTAGTTCCGCGTCGGAACTCGTATTCAAAAATCACTCGAATTTTCGCAGTATCCATCTTTCTTGTCTAAATTGCATAACAAAAACAATTGAAAGTCGATATTCAAATGTTTCAAATTTAAAAAAAAAAATCACAGAAACCATTTGAAAAAAGTTTCATTCGAAAACCTCAAACCATGAAGATTCTATGAAAATTCAAAGAACCTATTGCAATAAAACGGCAATTTCATACTTTAACCCCTAATATTTTAAGTTTTTTGGAATATCACGGTGCTTTATTATTACCAATGATCGGAAAAAGGTGTTCCACATATATAGACACATGTACAGATATAGCTACAAGGACCGATATAAAGTTTTTAAAACCACTAAATAATAATTAGTTACTTTTCAAATTCCGGAAATCAATACTACTGACCTAGGAAGTCGAAATTGGATTTTAAAGTAATTTTGGCATGCTATGTAAAAACGCAGTAGATAACTGACCTTTTACTAAAGCAGAAAAAAAGTAAGGAGAATGGTCACTCTCCGGCCCTCCTTAGCTTTAGATACCGCACCGCGCCACGCACATTGACGAAACGGCAACGAGACAGTAAAACTATTTCCGGAAATCCGGAATTCCAAAAAAACTAATTAATTGTTATTTGGTGGTTTTAACAACTTCATCTCGCTTCTTGTAGCTATATCTAAACATGTATCTAATGTGGAACACTTTTTTCCGACCATTGTTCATTAACATATTAAATTATTATTTTCAAATTACTCCACAAGTTTGTTATAATTTATTAATAATAAAATCCAATGTCATAGCAATCGTGAGAACGTTCTAACTCTATATCCTTGTGTGCGTATTGCATATGAATGAAATTGTTCGGGAAATTCAATTTCAGTAGCAGGTGCAGAACTACCTAACCTAACCTTACCTATTTCTGCCGCCAAGCAGTATAATGTGACATTACTGCGTTCCGGTTTTTAAGGATGCTGGTGAAATTACAGGCACATAGGACTTGTTAACTTGTCTCAGGGTGACAGGCGCAATGGCAGTGCAGTGCCCTCAGATAATACGATTTAAAGCTCTGAGTAGCACTGCAACTGTCATAGGCTTGTCGCTCACCATCACCTACACGATTTGTTCGTGCAGTCACTTGACGTCATAAAAAAAACAAAGATCGAACATTCGAAGAAAAAATTCCTTCGATCCGGCTGGATTCGAACCAGCGCCTTCAAGCATACCGTGCCAGACGCTCCTCAACTAAGCTACAGAACGAACCACCAGACATTATATAGCAACAAGCATATAGAAAGAATCGTTCTTTCTATATGCTTGTTGCAGATGTTTTCGTTTCTAACGACTTTTTTGCCGTAGCGCTATCAGTGGGACATCTAGTTCCAAGTTTTAAATATCATGAAATAAAAAGCGATCAGTCCGTATTAGTTACTAACTTACCAACTGGTTTATTATAGAGAATAAGTCTAAAACTTCACAATTAACACAAAAAGATGCAACTGCATGTGCTGGTAAATTTACAAAAAGTATTTAGAAATAATCCTAAGTATTATTTTAAGCTAGTACCTATTCTGAACCAACACCCGTAGAAAAGAGAAATCGAAGCCGAGAGACATTAACATGTTTAAACATATGCAGCGAATGTGACAAGTCAAGGAGTTATTTACTAAATGCAAGCCAAACTACTAGTTATATAAGGTACCTACATCACAATTGAAACAAGAGATTACACGAACCTCACTGATTTGCATGAAAAGTACGCTATAAGTACAGAGTTGGAAAACAATTTTACAAAAATTCACACACTTATTGGGTTTTGCGTCGAACCACTTGATAAAATTATTAATTGCTGTGAAGATCACATTAATCTTGGCAGTTTGGATCGTCCTTATGGGTAAGCGATATAGAGTTGAAATTAAATCTTAAGTGTGAAGCTCGACGTGCTCTTCGCTCTGTCCTGCACATATGTTGTCAGTCCTAACTTATTTGAACAATTAACGATTTTAAAACCTAATGCACTTCACATGGCTACTGGGGCCAAATAAGGAGTTAAAATATTGAACATGGCCATAGTGTGGACGGTTTACTTGCGTTTTTGGCTCTTTGGCTCCTTTGATGTGCTTCGAGAGACCGACCAGCGCGCGGTAACGCGAGTTTGGTGTTTGCTGTATTTGTCGAATTGGCAAACAAGGCAAATACTTTGTCTCACAAGCCATCTACACATGGTGATTGTTAGCCAAATATATGAAATTACAAATAGCCATGTGAAGTGCCACCATTATTACCAAATTCTTTAACCCGTTCATGGACAGTAGGTACCTACTTAGTATTCAAATAGTACCGCATACAAAAATGTCACCACTTTTCTTTGTACCGTTAGATTACTTATTTGTTCTCTGCCGTTAGTGCTAATATTGATTCAATATAAAATTTTCGATGCAAATTATTGAATTTTGAGATCCACATAGCGAAATGAGGTACCCCGTACTATCATATTCTGGTATTGAATTTTTCGCATGAACGGGTTAATAATCGTTGTTGAGGCTGTGTTGAAAATTGTTTGACGAAATTTTATATTTAATCTTAGTAAAAACCTCACTAGAAAACTATACTTAACAATGAAACTAAATGGTTAATTTGTTTCATATTGATGTATTTTAAACAGAAATTTAATTTTGTTCTTTAGTTTCCGATTGCCATTAGGTCGATCCTCGTGAAAACGGTGTCTCCCTGAAGCGCTCTCCGCCATATCATGAGAGCGTGTGAGTACTTTTTTAAACATTGAACGACCTACCGGCAGAAGCAAAAGAACATGTGAATAATGTACTACAATTTAATAATGCAACTTGAAAACTTAGGAGAAGAAAATAGTTAACCCCATTTCCAGAACTTCCATAATCGCCAGAAAGTGGCATCCTGGTTAAGATCAGGATCGGAAGGCACTCCTATAGGCTCGATTGGTATGTCCTCGTGACGAGTGAGACCTCGGGTGATCTCCTCTTTGCCCCAGCATGAGCCCAGTAAGCAGAGCACGGCAAATAACAACAGCACCTTGAAAATTTCATTAAAATAAGTAGATTTTAGGTACTTACCATTGCGCTTGCATTCCATAGATTTTTAAAATAAAAAATGTCACTTATTTGATATCACGATTACCTTCGAACTCATGTTCTGTATGTGAATTAATTCCGATGGTTCCTCAGCGGAACTAGCGTGTCCTCGTTGTTCAAACGCGTGAATGAAGAAAATATTACAATTACATTGCTTATATGAACTCGGGTGATTTGGAGCGGATATTTCATCGTTAGGACATACATCAATAGACATACACAGTAGTGACCCATTTATTGTGAAATTACTTGTTAATCTAATACAAGCGAAAAACTGATATCCTTGTTCTTGGATATGAAACTATTTTTTCAGCCGTTACTATGGGACCTGTAAAAAGCTAAAAACGTTGGTTTGTCGGAAAAACAAACATACACAATTTAGATCTGAAAAAATAGTTTCAATTCCCATTTATAGCAATCTCGAGAATCTTCTAACTCGTTACCCATGTGTTACCCATTGCATATTAATAAAAATGTTCGGGAAATTCATTTTCAGACGCAATAGAGCTCCCTGTGAAAGAGTTCGTCCAGAGAAGTACTGCCACCTTATCTATTTCTGATGTCAAGCAGTAATGTGAACATTACCGTGTTTCGGTATTGAATGATAAGAGTGGTAGTAAAATTGCAGGCACATGGGACTTGTCAACTTTATGTCTCCAGGTGATGAGCGCAGTGGCAGTGCCCCTTAGATCTTTGCGATTTAAAGCTAAGAGGCATTACAGTTGTCATATAGGCGTTTCGCTTACCGCCAGGTGCACGAATTGATCGTCCCGTCGCTTGACATCATAAGAAAAAGTCGTGAACATTTCTAATGAGCATTTATAGAATTGAAATACTTCACAAATTAATAATAAATAGTAAATACATTAATTTTGTAAAATTACAACAATAACAACAATTAAGCAATCCAAAACAAACACATGCGTTGTTTATAAAACAAATAAACTTTACATTTAAATAAAACAAACACTTATTAATTATTGCTGTGTACGCGTGTCCTAATAGTTTCATTTTTATATCACAGTTAATTAAATAAACTTCACAATAACACATTTAATTATGTTAGATACTTATAGTGGCGGATTTGCCCTAAGGCCCAGTAGGTCCGGGCCTTGGGCGGCCAGATTTTAGGGGCGGCCAATCGTGACAAAAAATTCACTGATCATAACAAGAAATACATAACCCAAAGTACGGCCGGCCGCACAGCACCGCATCGTATAACAATAATCTTCCTAAATCACTTTCGTAGATTTTATATATAAAATATAGATATGTTATATATCTGTAATGTATGTATAATCACTACTGTCTGATCGCGATAAACTCAAAAACTACTGAACGGATTTTCATGCGGTTTCCACCAATAGACAGATTGATTCATGAGGAAGGTTGAAGTTTATTTTTTATTTATTTAGGTTTTGTGTAAGTTGCCTGAGATATGACGACAAATGTTGAAGATGTCGGAAAAAATCATGCCGGCTGGGTGCTTTACTGGCGTGCGCACAGTAAACTGACAGAGATATATAAAATCAATGTTCTAGAAAAAATATTAAATCGATAAAAGTTGGCAATGAAGTAAATTCATTATGTAGTCTACCAGTACATGATAAGTGCTGAGAAAGGGGCTGCTGGTACTGACTACATGGCCTAGAGTCTAGGGCGGCCAAGACTGCAAATCCGCCACTGGATACTTAGTTTAATAAGCTTTATTTTGTACATATTACTTTTTGTAACATTTGTTTAAATATTAAACGTCATGCTATTTACTTTTCTCGTGTATTTTTCTCTATTTGAGCACTTTGTGGAATTTAAAATTAGATAGGTACGTATATATGCGATGAGAAATTTACCTACATTAAATATTCCTTTTCATGTACCTACACTTAATATTTATATACTTTAAAACTTTACTACCGATAATTAACAATATATTACTAAGTAAACTAGAAACAAAGATGAATCACCTACGTATTCTATCACCTACAATCAGCCACCAAACAACATGCTGTAAAGGAAAAATTATTCTGAAAAAATGATTCTTTTTATTAAAGATAACATATTATTACCTACTAAGTACCTACACATAAAGATAACCTTATAATTTTCAATAATTTATTTTTATCATATTATACTTAACTGTTTCCTGCCCACGGAACGAAAAAGGCACAATTTTGGTCAAAATTGAGTTATAATGTCCATATTCGGAATAAGGAAAAAAGGTCAATCTACCAAAGTTTTTGTAAAAATCTATCTCAATGATTGTTGGATTTACAGTAAGCTCAAACGACACAACTGACATGACTAATCACATTTTGTACAGTCAACAGTACACCAAGCTAACCACTTTTAGGAAATGAGACATTTCTTGTATATTTGTTTTTTTTTTAAACAAACCAACGTTGCGGGCCGTTTACAGGCTCCATGGTACAAAATTAAAATCCGAAAAAATGTTTCATTTCATATATGTAACAATCACGAATACCTAACACTTTTGTTCAAAAATCGCCTCCAGAACAACGGAACAAGATCCGTCAACGTTTAGCTTGATATGCTGCCATCCGTACCATAAAAAGTCCTACTTGAAGTTTATTTTAAACCATAATATAAATAATTTGGTATCTTTAACTTATAAAGATACCAAATTTAAAAGTTTTTATTCGTAATGTACGGGACTGTGTTCTTATTTTGTACTAAATAACACAAAAACCGCACAACTGAGTATAAGTGTGCCCTTTCGTCCTATTACAAGTCAAATAATAAAAGTACTAAGTAATAACAATTTTTATCATTTTTTTTTCTAAGATAACAATAAGTTTTCTTTAAATACAATGTAAGTTCCTACATAAAATATATTTTAACTGTGCTTTATATCAAAGTCTAAAAAAATTCAAGTCATTTCCGTATTTCGAATTTGTCGTTTGTGCCTTTCTTCCGACGACAGTATTTTGGCTTAAATATAAAAGCTAAGTGAAGCTAAGTATATAATTTTATTTTATATATTTTTTTTATGAAAGCACTTCACTAGTATGTTATTCATACAAAGATTGAACAAATTTTTTTTGAACCAGCGACATTTTTTTGCCCAACACGAGCTTTCACAACTTAGCTATGGGACGAGTCAGAGAATTTCTCTATGTGCTTGCTGCAGGTCTTTGTTTTCGGTTTTAACGGCTTTTTTGCTGTAGCGCCACCTGTCAGAAAACTATGATCAGCGGCTGACAAGAGATGTCGCTTTATTAATTGCAAATTTTATTGTATATATTTTTTTTAGATATAGAATTTGGCCATTATGAAGGTAACGCTTAGTAACGTGTCTTCAGTGGGTAAAACTGATTGACGGTTACTTTAAAAGATTAGAATTAAATACTCAATTTCATTATGATTTTATATATATATATATAATCAAACTTAGTAACTATTATAGTCAACTTTCTTTGAAAGTCTAGTTTTTAGTGTTATCTAAAAAATAAATCGATTGGTAGAAGAAGTGCCTATTACTTACACAGAGACGACACTTCTCGAACCAAACCATAGAAATATGGTAAAAGAAGGCGCTCAAATCAATTTAAGGTCAAAGTCTAATCAGATACGTATTATGATGAAGTCTTTAGGTCCTGGCTGATACTCCAACAGTAACAACTACTGTATTCTTATCCTGCTAAAACCTTTAAATTGTAACAAAATAATATGAGAGTTTTCTTAATCATTTAAACGGTACATTGAATGTTTACGAATACCTAATAAAATTATATTGCACAACCCATCGCGCTATACAAACATTTTATTACGTTGCAACAATATCAATCAAGAGCCAATTAGAATGTTCCCGCTCCAACGAAGCCGCGTTAATTACAGCCACACTCTTGCCTTAGCTAATAAAATATAAGTGTTACCACCAGCCAGCAGCTCTGAAATTATCTACAAGAGTTGCACGCCTGAGGCGGCAAAGTCTTGCGTATGGCACGCACGGCTCGACGGCCAGCCTTCGCCAGTGTCACGAATCGTGCATTAGCCGCTGGTAGTGCGGAAACACCTCATATGGAGGCACGTGTAATCCAAATTCCAAAGCTGCAAGGACGGCAAACTCGAATCGTAACAAGTCTTTTCTATTTAACCTGAACGTAGTCTCGATGCGCTGCAAATTAAAAGTGTATTTAGGTGCCTTAACATTTTGTCGGTCGTGATTTGAAGTCCTAGTAGCCTAATGGTTTGGCCTCTCAAGCAGAGGTAGTGAGTTCGAGCTCCGAGGGTCCGAGCTCGCACCACTGAGTTTCTCGGAATTGATGTGCATTTAATTTGAATATTACCATTAGCTTTTCCGTGAAGGAAAACGCGACGAAACCTGCATTTTGAAGAAGGTACACAACCGTCGGAAAACATGTGAACTCCCCAACCCGCATTGTGCCAGTGTGGCGAATTATGACCTAAACTCTTGCGTGAGAGGAGAGCCGTGCCCAGCACTGGACGAATAATTGGGTTGATGATTTCAAGGTTTCAACCTGACTGTGCGTTTTGCAGTACTATTTCATTACACGAGTCAAGCAACCTCAGTGCTCTGTAGGCGCTAAATGAATTGGAATATTTAAATTTTTTAAATTAAGTGAAAAAGAACTTAATAGACAAGACTTAAATGAAATCGAGATAAAAAAATCCGTACGGTTATTTCATATTTAAAAAAATTTGCATACATTTGACATTGAAATAAATTTCTAAAAACTTACCTCAATTAAAGACTTGAGCATTTCGCCTTTTACGTCGTTCAATTTAGCCGAGAGTAATAAGCATGCTCCAGCGCACAGTTTCCTGTTGTCTTTCTTAACATAATTGGCGAGGATCAACTTCTCAAAATACACATAAGCCTGAGCGACTGACAACAAATCTATACCGCCATTATCATGCTTTGCTATCTTCCGCATCTCTTTTTTTAAACTGTAACAATAAATATGTCTTAAAGAAAACTATACAAAAATATTTAACATCACAATATTTGGAAATTGGTAATGACGATTACCTTCTAAGTTTGCTGAGCGTCAAATTTATATGAGGGAACTTCTCCCTAAACTTGTCATTCAACTCTTTCTTGAGATCTTGAGGACGAACATAGTCGATAATCGAAGTCATATATGAAGTGAAAGTGAGCAGGGTCCTGTGCTTGCCTGCGATTAATTCCGGGTCATCCAGAACATTTGGACAATAGTGTAGCTGCAAGTTTACGTTTTGTATTATAGAGCCCATCACGTCAGATCAAACAGAGTACTTTTTAATAATATATCAAAAACTAGTATACAAAGGGCTGATTTCAATGTCATATATCTTTATTGAAAACTTACATATTTCTTAGCAAGTATAGATGGCTCATCCCAATCAAATGTCTTGCAATCCACTGAAGAGTGAGGTGGAGAAGCAGCCATTGCACTTCTTTGGTGCGCCTCATATGAGAAACACCTATAACATTTACCTAGTTTTTATTTCTTTACTATTAATTACAATTTAAAATCTATGAAAGAGCATGTACAATATCCACATGCTGCATGAAATGTGTTATTAGGTTATTTTCATGCAAATATTTGTTACTAAGTAAATGTACATGCTATGTGCTGGTAAAATAGAATGTGCTGTTAGTACCTATCATGTTAATAAATCATGCAAAATTTCTTGAGGCCAAATGTAACCCACCAGTATTAATAATAAATACCCAGTCTTTTTCTCAATGTAGCAGTTACAGTGTAAGTTAGCATACATTTGACTTTAATTCATTTATTTACTCAAATGATTGTATGACACTAACAACACAACAAAAGCAGAAAATATTAGCACTAGCAGTTATGTCTACTTTCATGAAATTACGTCTGATATGGTAAGTATAGTTTGTATACTTTATTATTCTAATTTCCTACTTTCTCTTAATGTACTCTACCAATAACCAATATACAGTTTAGCCAAAACAAAATGATCTTCAACGATTACCATTTCTTATTATCCTTGTGCCTCGTCAATAATTTAGTCCTGAAATCCAAATGTTAGGGATGAAATGAATGTGGTGTTTGATTTGATTAATAAAGAAAATGCATTATAAATGTGATGTGTGTTTATTTCAATCAGTAAATCATTCTGTAAAATGTGAAATGTAATTTATGACATCTGAATCTAGTGTTATTAATTGTGTTACTAGTAGGTGATATTAAATGTACATTCATTTGAAATGAAACTATGTTTATGGCATAATCTGCATAATCTGTTCAATGTTGTACCTAAGGACAAGATAGAACACAGTTGCCACGGAAAGGTGATTTCTAGGTAGTAGGAAAACATGCACAAAGCAAGTGACATTCATTGCTTGGAACAGCACAGTACCTAGTAACCAGCTGAATTATGTTGAAACATTTAACTGAATACATTTACATTAAATGTTTTTCTCAGTGTTGTTGTAATTAAATTTACCTGGCAATGACATGAGGGTGTCTATGCAACATCTTCCAGTTCTTATCGTGGAAATCACCATCATACATTCTCTTATACTGTTCTCTTGTAAACACTCTAGATGGTACAAGTAACCTTGAATATGATATTTCTTGACCATTTTCTTCTCTCTCAAGGCCAAGAAGATCAAAAGGATCCATACCATTGTCTGTGATTGAAGACAAGGGTCTAGGACCAGAAGTGTTACGCCTACGGACTCCATCTTTTCTTAAGTCAGCTCTAGAAATTAAAATAAATACAAGTAAAAAGTTGTGTCTGTTTATTAAATTTACTTACATTCTACTGTACTGCACATGGAACTCATTTCAAGTACTAAGAACTTCACATAACATTTTTTTGTAGATAATAATTTTTGTTTGTATTTTATTTTTCATAGAAACCTAAGAAAGTACACTTACAAAAAAGGATAGTGATGGAGACTGAAAGTATTTATTGTTTCAAAACCAAAAATCATTATTAGCTATATTATATCTTTAAAAAGTATTTGATCTTTATCGAACACGTACCTTGCATTTCTAATCGTTTTGGAATATGGTATAGTGCTAAACACAACACAAGGGACACTTTTTGCCACAGAAAATGCGAGCCTTTCATCCTTAAATGATACACCTTTAGCTGGCTGTATTATTCGAACTCCTTTAGCCACTGCATGCTCAGGAATATAAACACCACTGGCTCGAAATCTTCCTAAAATTACGTAAAATTGTGGATCATTAATTTGTTAACAATTAAACCAAATTTTATATCAATGATTAAGGAAATTAATGTATAGAGTATAGAACCAATTGATATAATTCATTTTTCAAGACAGATTACCGAATGTTAAACTTTCTGAGCTGCTCCTATCATCAGTGATGCTGGCTATAGTAATTATATGGTGATGACCTTTTCTTACTCTATTTGTCAACTTTTCCTTGAACGACTCTGTATTTGTCGACGAACATCTGTGAATATAACAATCGATGAAAGGACTGTGACGTCGTAATTTTCGAACATATTTATTAATGTTTACCTGTCTCTGAAAGATTGGTTGAAAATTTTGACAGGGGTAATGGTGGTATTATAATCAGAGTCTGAACTCAGAGAGTTATTATCGGCGCCGACGCGGTGAATGGGACTCGAATGCGGCAGTTTACCGCGGCTTAACGCGCTCTTTCTTAAGGCACTATGTTTATCGTTAGGATAGCTAATATCGACCACTCTCGTTCCACAATCCGTTTTATCATTCTTTTTATTGGCAATCTTGCATAATTCGGTATCTCTAAACGTCCCATCGAGAGATATATTTGATAAAAACGTTACAGCGGCCAAACGTCGTCTGGCTTTTTCATATTTCACTCGATTATTCGACATGCTTTAGGGAGGCAGACAATGTCGTATTAATCCAAACCAATATAACTTACAGTCAGCTGAAAGAAACTATTTCACTCTAATTCACAATCACTAATTGGTTTCTAAATATCTCCACTACACAAGTCGATCTTGGATCGAATTCAGTAAACATTTGTCAATGTCAGTGTCAAATTTCAGTTTTTTTTGGCTTCGTGTCTAATTATTTGTTAATGTTAGTTAATTTTCCGTTTTTATCGGGAATATTACTGAAAATTTTAAAAATATTGAAAAATTATAATTCCGAGTCTCAATTGTTATGGATGTCTGCATTGATGCAATCGCCTATAAATCGCAAGTGTAAAGATTAAATCGAGCATTTGACGAACACACGTTTGCATACGAGTAACACACTTTGCATCGCTATTAAAAGTTGCTGTAACTACTTTAGGAACAGGCGCTTATCCCCTTTTCCTTTCCATCAAAACAAGATACTTTATGAAGAGGCAGTATTGTGGCATCTTTGCCTACCCAAATAAATGGGTGAAAAGTAGATATATATAACAAAAACGGCTGTTTGTCATAATTGAATTACACTGTTACGCGATTTGTCAATAACTGTTATTGTAAACTGTTGTCATAAATATTTATCCTGTTATTCAGCTGGTTTTAATTTTGCATACAACATAATAATGACAGCGAGTGATGAATATTGGTAGTGTTGCACGAACAAGTCGTGCGCCTGATGGTATTCTACACGCCTGTCCATAAAAGTTGCAGTGCTACTCAGAGCTTTATTAAATTGTAAAGATTTGAGAAGCACTGCCACTGCGCCTGTCACCCTGAGACATTGTTGACAAGTCCCATGTACTTGTAGTTTCACCAGCACCTATACCCTTCAAAACCGGACCGCAGTAATGCTCAAATTACTGCTTGGTAGCAGAAGTAGTTAAGGTGGCAATACTTTCCTAACCGAACTCTTTCACAAGGAGCCCTACTGCTGCTAAAGTTACTTACTACCTCTTACTACTTACTAACTCTTGATTCTCTCGCGTAAATGTAAATTATTTTTGTTTTTAAGGCAATTTTCGTAACTTTTGAGAAAATGCAACTATTTTTCTTATTCTTAATGCCAAATAGTGTACGAACGCAATCAAATTAGACAAAAAATTAACACAAAGATGGCGCAAACAAAATATAATCAATCAATAAGTTTGCTTAATTTTTCTTTTTAAGACGTACTTACTTTTTTATTTTTAGGATTTGGACGTATATACCCTGTGGTGATAGGATTAATTAAATAAATATTTAAAAAGGCGAATGAGTAGCTGATAACCATACCGAATACTGTAAAAAAGCACTACCTTATTTTAAATATTTTTCTTTAAGGAAAAGGCTCATCATTCAGCCATACGACGCCCAATGCTGAGCATAGGCCTCCCCCAACGATCTCCACGACGATTGGTCCTGCGCTGTTCGCATCCATCGGCTTCCCGCGACCTTTATTAGATCGTCGGTACACCTGGTGCCTGAGCATTGAAGAACCTTTCCGCGCCAACGGACATTGATTCTCCTAGCTGTGTCCCGCCCACTGCCACTTCAGCGGAGCAATTTATTTATTTAATTCTTCGAGCTATATCGGTTACCTTAGTTCTCTTACGGATTTCCTCATTTCTGATTCTATTACGGAGGGAGATACCAAGCATCGCTCTCTCCATTGCCCGCTGAGTGACCTTGAACCTTCTTATGAGGCCCATAATGAGGGACCACGTTTATGATCCATATGTGATCACTGGCAACAAACACTGGCCAAAGACTTTCGTCTTGAGACACTTAAGTAATTTGGACGCAAAGATTTATTGTGGTTTCCCGAACGCTGCCCATACGAGCTGGATTCGACGAGAGATCTCTTTCTCAAAGTTGGACTTATCTAACTGTACTTTCTGTCCCAGGTATACGTAATGGTCAACAACTTCGAGTGTAGTGCTCCCCATTTTAACTGGAACGGGTACAACATGGGCATTCGACATGAAATTCGAAAGGAAAACTCTGCCTCTAACATGTTATAATACTCAACTCTAGCGCGAGGTACCGCGTCAATCGAATATGCAGCGAATGCCCGGCTAGGTCAAAACAAACCCTTACCGGCTCCGGCTCGCGCCCGCGCTCATTGAAACGCTGGCCATCTGCGGGTAGCGACAGCCTGGTAAGTTCACTTGCGCTCTTGTGTTAGACGGGAGGTCGTCGTCGCGTATTTATTTTGCGTGGTATATCGGTGTATTCACCTGTATAGCTTGTGCAGTTCTGTGAAGTGACATTCATAATGATGTCTTATCACTACACAAATGAGATGTATCGGGACATGATGCGGTGTTACGTTGTGGTATGTTATGCAAATGATGTTGTTAATTGTGCTAGGGACCTATACCGAGTGATGTTAGGATAGGATCAATTTTATCTGTCCGAAGTTGAAGATGAAGCGATAATTCAATTATTTTTAATAGTACTGACTGTTTAATAGTAAGGCCTGACAAGACGCCATGAGTGCGTGCTCGTGGCGCACCATGCGAGTTCAATTTCCTATCGCTCAGTTCAAAGATTAGCTCAAATGAAGAGTGTGTTAGTAATTATAATATAAAATAGCACATTTTTTCTCAAGTTTGGGGCGATTATATTACATATTCAGATTAAATATTAGCTACACGTTTGCCTCTTTAAATATTTGTCTCGTTCAATGTTTTTTACATTTTGAATTTGTAATTAAAAAACGAACTTGTACAATGTAACTTTTGCACATAACGATGTAACTTTTTTGGTGACGAAATGTAATTTCCGTCTCAAAAGTCATGGCAACACCACAGCAACACTATTGTGTAACCTGTTATTTGTGGTTCAATCGAAGACGAGGATAATGAGGTTGAGGCAATGAAATGAAATCTGCTGTTATGAAGATATTGTTGTGTTCGTTTTAAACATTAACCGATGAACGAAAACAAAATGCCTGTTTTCGGCACCAGTTGTATAAAACTTGATTGCTGTTAACTGCCTGTCAATATTATAATCCACGTTATTGCAATTATATAAAGCACAAAATAATAGTTTTTAAATCTGTCGTCCACTAACTAAAACGCGGCTAAGTGACAAATGGTCAAATATCCGTTTTAATTAGAAAATTAAAAAGAAAAACACAAAATTCTCTTTTGAAAATAGTTAGAATTAGTTAGTCTGTTCGACTTACCGGAACCTACCCCAACAATGCATGGCTGAAATATCATTGAACGGTTTCAATATTCTAAAAATGGGTTATGGTTTTTTATGATATCTCTAAAAAGTATTTTGTCACTGCCGCATTTTAGTTAGCGGACGGCAGAATAGGTGACTTAAAAGTTATAACAATTAGGGTCGTATTCCAAAACTTTACTCAATACTCTAATCAGGACTTGAGTATTGCAGTGAGCACCGAAAATCATACTCAAGTCCTAGCCATTAGGGTCGTATTTTCAGTGCTTGAAATCATACCCAAGTCTGCTCAAGTCCTGACTTGAGCATTGAGTAGAGTTCTGGAACACGACCCTGAGGGTCGTATTCTAGAACTCTACTCAATGCTCAAGTCAGGATTGCATTGGAAACACAAGCACTGGAAATACGACCCTAATGGCAGGGACTTGAGTATGATTTCGAGTGCTTTAAACTGTACTCAAATCCTGACTTGAGCATTGAGTAGAGTTCTAGAATACGACCCTAAGACTAAGAACAACTAGTGCCATTTCTATCTCGCTGCCTATTGGCTATTGTATACTTGTTTATTCGAGCGACACGATAGCAACGCAGCAGTAGCAGTATAAGAACCGCAGTTTAGACAGTTGTTCGATAATGTGTTATACATTGCGTAAGAATAATGCATAACATTATTTGATATTGTATTGTGACAACTTGTTTAAAAAAATCAGTGTCATTTAGTTGAGATATCAACCTCACTCCAAAATTAAGAAAAGAAAATGAAGAATAGGCTGTATAACATTATGCCAAAGCCATTAAAACTCTACTTAAAAAAATGTAAACGTCAAAAGTTTTGGTGAGTGAGAGCAGGACGGAAGAAAATATTGTTAAAATTCGAGACCATTTCTGGATTCATACATTTTATTCATTCTCATACATGATTTTATAATGGAGCCCTGCGTTCCAGGGTCAACAGCGCCTTCTAGGGCTACAAGATTTATGATGGAAGGTGTAGGAGCGCGAGTTATTCGAGGTCCAGATTGGAAGTGGGGCAAACAGGTACTTGGAATTTTTGTTTATATTATTAATATCTTTTAGTTTTAGAACTTCCAGAAATATTGTACCTATAAAAGAAGTTACTGTACTTGTTTGTTATAACTTTCCAGGACGGCGGAGAAGGCCATGTGGGTACAGTTCGTAATTTTGAGTCGCCAGAAGAAGTAGTTGTTGTTTGGGACAATGGCACCGCGGCAAACTACAGATGTTCTGGTGCTTACGACTTGAGAATACTTGATAGTGCTCCAACCGGCGTAAAACACGAAGGGACTATGTGTGATACGTGTAGACAACAACCGATTTTCGGTGAGTTAATTTGTATATTTTTGACACTTTCTGTAATAGATAACATACTTTATGTGCAACGTAACGGTATGTTTGCTATTTTGCTGTAATTCTGTTTTAACATCAGTTCCCTATGATAATTTGAAACTAAAAGTACACAAACTCAAATTGTTTATATTATAAGGTTTGTTATTTTGTTGTTGTTATAGATACACAAGTAAAAACTAAAATAACATTCTCAACAATGATTGTTATTTGATAGTTAAGTTATAATTCATATAACAGGAACATATCTACTGTATAACAATTGTGTAAGACTTTAAGAAACAAAGACTAAGTTATGCGTCCTTGGTACTTTTGCTGCACATCGAATTTACAACCTCTCGAACCTAACAGTAAACCTTATGCTTGCCACCAAAGGAGCTTGATGTATTGGGGTTTCTGTACTTGTTTCTGTATAGGATCAATTTAGTAACAAGTATTTAAGACGTGTAAAGAGCCTGAAATGGTGATTTGTTGGAAAAAATGGATATATTCAATTTACATCCCAAAACATAGTTACATTTCCTATGTGTAACAATCATGAAAACCTAAGAATTCAAAAAAGTAATTTCTGAATTAGTTCTCATCTGAGTGTTCTGGATAGTGCTTCCAGAATTCAGTTACTTTGTTTCACTTGATACAACAATTAGATTTTGACCAGTTGATATGATTATCAGGTACTTTATGATTACTATTGATTAATCACTTTGTACAAGAAGATTTGGTGATGCTTTGCCTGCAGTTATTCCTCCTCTTTTCATTCTCATTCGTTGTAAATGTTCATGTTTCCCCTTTATATCAATGTTTCAGGTATTCGCTGGAAGTGTGCTGAATGCAGTAACTATGATTTATGCTCTGTATGCTACCATGGTGACAAGCATCACTTGAGGCATAGGTTTTACCGTATCAGTGCACTGGGAGCTCAAAGGTGTCTTGTGGAACCAAGACGTAAGAGCAAGAAACAGGCTGTCAGGGGTATCTTTCCAGGAGCGAGAGTTGTCAGAGGGGTATGTATTGTAACAATTTATTTTGTATTGTATTTAAATTTGGAATCTCTCTATGTTGCAAAATGGCAGAAACCATTGAGTATATAACCAGAAATAAGAGCCATCCATCCCTGGCAACTCATCAGGCAAATGGGCCTTATATCACTTTTAAATATCAACTCTCGTTTGCACTGACTTCTTCATCAAATTAGAAAGGTGAAATAATACAGCGCCAACAACTGAACTGTGGGTACATCTCCATATATTCCAAAAATATTGTATATTTATTGTAATAAAAATAATATCTCTAACAATGGGGGGTGTTCCATTTGGTGGTGTGGGAAAAACAGCAAAACATCTAATTACAAAAGTAACGGAATCACATTTCATCGGTAATTAAATATTAAATATGTAATTTTTAAATTATCATCCATTATAACAAAGCTCGAGTTAAACTGGTCGATTTGAAGTGAAACAATTGACAACACCCATCGATTGTTTTGCATTCGGTCCGGGCAATTGGAGCGCAGTTGTCATCATTATGATTTCGGAGAATAGTTTTCAAATAAATTAAATGACATTTTGTCTCTATTTCTGGTTATATACTCGATGGCAGAAACTGACAACACATATTTTAATGTCCAAAGTCAGTACTAGAACCAGAGCATCAATCTTATTCTTCAAAAACAACACTGATGAAGTAATTGAATCAGTAATTGATTATAATGTGTGTATGAGAAAACATTTCAGTTTAGTATGATTTTTAAAACTGTACCATTGAATAATAGAACAGTATCAAAATTTTAATATACAATTACAAGATTAACAAATCGGAACTAGATGAACTATACGATAACCGTAGTCGTATGTGTCGAAGGCGTTATTCTTCGCGTCGACTTTCTTAAGGCGAGAAAGATTTTTTTATAAACCAATTGTGTATTTCCATCATAGAATGGTGTACATGAATGTATGATAAACTGTACCGATCGAACAATGCCGTCTGATTGTAACGATTTTTCGTAACGTCTTTGGACCCAATAATGTATAGTAAATTAATAAATTGCTACTTCTAAAAACATAACCTTGTTAGATAATGCAGTGCTCTATGTTTTAAACATCATCTTTGAAATTATAAGTCTTCATTGAGTCCATTGTTACGAGCCTCTATACTGTAAATAAGACATGTGCCTCATAATCATTGTTATTAGTAACTGCAAGATTTGATAAGTCATTAATAAATAACTAATAAACATTGGACAATATAGGATTCACAATTGCCTTTTTCACTTACATTTTTAAAAAACAGCAATTACATTTGTGTGCACTATTATAGCTATAAAATAAACTCGACAATGTACTGATGAACTATTAAAAATAATTATATTTATAACTGTTTCTAGGTTGATTGGCAATGGGAAGATCAAGACGGAGGCAATGGCAGACGAGGCAAAGTGAATGAAATACAGGATTGGTCTGCAGCTAGCCCCAGATCAGCAGCGTACGTCGTATGGGATAATGGAGCGAAAAATTTGTACAGAGTTGGTTTTGAGGGAATGGCAGATTTAAAGGTACAGAAATGAAATGAAAATAAGTGTCAATCTGAAGGTAAAAGGTATCAGGTTATTTTGTGATTTTATGGAGAGATACATATTCTGAAAGGGCATTCTACCCAAAACATATCATACATAGATTTGTTTGCCAAATATCACAAGTTATGGTAACATATATCAAACTGTTGCTAAAGAATAATCCCATTTTAAATTTATTTTCTTGCAACAAGCTATATTTGTACACGTCATAAGAATTTATAGAACTTGAAAATTAAAAAGTTACAAATAATAAAATAAATAAAAATAATTACTAGTAAAAAGATAAAATAACTTGTATTTGCAAATACCTTATGGTAATACTAACATTTGTTATAACATTGTTAAGATTTTTTTGATAATGATAGTTTTTCAGCTAATGGTAGTTAGTTAATAAAAGTTTTGCTAATAATAAATCTTACTTCGACCACACCCCGGACACCCCATACAACGGTCGAAAATTATTTGCCTACTACTACTACATAAAGCACGGTGCTATCTGCACACGCGCAAATGTGTGCGTGAAGTGGCAGGGTTTCCCATCACTTGCTCGTACGTACCTTACGTTACCGTACCTACGTACGTTACGTGGTCAGAGCGGCAACATAGCGAAAATTCTAACGCTAACCTTTTATCTATAATTCTATTATAGAATCCTAATTACACATATTCATTACGTAGGTATTTATATCGATACAATATTATATTTTTCATTAATTCACTAACTACAATAATATTGAAAAAATATATTAAAAGCACTTAAAATGTTATACCACTTAAAATGTTATACTTTGGACAGGTACCTTTAAATAAAGTAACCAAAGTATTTGAAATTGCGTGTCCAAGTTTATCATTACCTAGTCAATAATTAGGTATATTCACTACGTAATATTTATCGGCAATACAAATGGAAAATTCGACAATCCGTGTCTAGCTCACGAAGTTATGGCGTCTTATTATATTGATATAATAAATCTGTATTATATATTACTCTGCACTAAAGAAAACAATAATTGAATGAGTCTCAGACAAGTTTTTTTACTTACTTTGTTTCATCTTTCAAAAAACGAAACAAACGCCTCTCTTTATCCCGTTTAGACGATTATAAACAGCCGTACACAGCACAATTCGTTCAACCATTATAAATAGTAACGTAAAATGATGTTATATATTAATATACAAATTTCGTAATGAATAAATGAAAACTATATTCAAATATCAAAGCCGTCTTAACGCGAAAACGGCTCGCCGACAGCCTTGTTCTCGTTCAGTCAATGTGACCGTCAATGTGCGGGGCGTGGTCCGGTATCTAAAGCTAGCGAGGGGCGGAGAGTGTCCGTTCTTGTTACTCACTTGTTCTCTGCTTCGACGTCAAAGGCAACTCTATCGTAAACATCTTAAAGTCAAAAGTGATTATCAATTCTGCCTGTGTCGTTTCCACCTTTGTCCAAACAAAAATATCTGGGATAAAAGTTTGAATTTGTCTCCTAGTGACACCCAATGCTGGGAACGATTGCCTTATATGCCAATTACCATGAGAAACAGTTGCTTGTATTCGCCAGACTGATTGTAAGCTAGAAGAATAACTATGAAAAAGTAACTATATAGGAGCTAAAATAACATAATGATATGTAATGGAATGTTGCAGGTCGTGAATGATGTAAAAGGACAGAATGTCTACAAAGAACATTTGCCACTCTTAGGGGAACTAGGCCCAGGGCGCACTGGACCCCATGGCTTGCAAGTTGGGGATCAGGTAATTATTTCAGTCATATAGTGCTATATACTTATTGCTTGAAGGAAACGTCACAGAGAAATATAGTCGCTACTACCAATACTGTAAATTGTTGTACAGACGCGACTCATGGTACATATGCAAAATATCTAAATTCTCTGAACTATATAGCGTTTCCCAGGACGGCTACCAGACACTCACGTTGTGTCACACGTCGCTGTCCATAGCTTGCGGAGTGATTCTTTTCGAGATAGTTTGTGATAGGTTCTGGAAAATAATAATTTAAAAAGATAAGTAGGCAGAAGACTAGATAGAATATGCTATAACAATTTTTCGTTAATAATACCATGTGACATAAGCTCAGACCTGGCATGACACATCATATTTTTTACGAATTTAATTTCACGTGTGTAAGAAGTGACCAGCATTGTGGGGACCCTGAAGAGGGAACCATCTCATATAAGCCCTTGTATTCGAGATTTTATTTTATATTGGCCCCTATTATCTTTGTTAATGCTCCCAAAATAAATATATCAAAGTAGTTAAACATTGTTATATTCAATCAATAAACTTCACATCATCAATGCTTTGTAGAAAGGGCGAAAACGTTTGGAAAAAATTCAGGGGAGAATGTTGCACATTTTAACAACTGTTTTAAAATATTTACTTCTATATATCGCGATCGCTATAAACTGCATATAATATATGTGTAAAAAAAATGAAATGAAATGAGTGAATGAATGAAAGGGGTGCTGTGTCATATCCTACACAAAGTTTTTTGATATGTTACGTCGTCTCACGTCTGCAATAAACAATACTATATGTGCAGGCTTTGGTGACTTTACAGGGTCTATTCAATGAAGAGGTTTATTTAAACTTATTCAGCGATTTATTTTTGGCTTTTTCTCAATTTATACAAAAATTTAAATGCATCTTGTATCTAACGGACGACCGTATACAAGGTGTAAATTTGAGACGGGGCAGTAAGGCCCGTCACCTTAGTCGTTGTAGTTACAGGAAAACGGTTCTAGAAGACTATCCATGAATTTCGAAGATATTTTGATTGGCATTCACAGATTTTGAAAAAATGGTACAGTCAGCAAGATAAAAGGCAATTTTTACAAAACTTTTTTTTTATGCCATACGATCCGGTCTCTGTTAAGGACCAATAGTCTCTATGCGACCAACTGAGGTCATAATGTCAGATCGAAATGTCAGAAATTGCAAAAAACTTTTTACCATACATATTGTATATATTTAGTAATCAGTTATTCTAGACAGTTAAGGAAACTAACAAATTGACAACATATTATGTATTACTTAAATTAAATTTATAAAAAAATACAACAGTGTTCAACAATTGAAAGACGCACTTGCAGCAATTTTCAATGGAATCAATCCGAGTAAAATTTCAGCCGCTACTTGTTCTTTGCGGAAGATAGCGAATCGATACATCGGCCAAGGCGGCAATCAATTCGAGCACTTACTATCATACATTTTTTATGTTATTTTGCTTTTTGTTATTGTTTTTATTTTGAAATACATAATACGTTGTCAATTTGTTAGTTTCCTTATTGTTCGTTTTCTTAACCTAGAATAACTAATTACTAAATATGTCCCTACAAAATGTATGGTAAAAAGCTTTTAGTGATTTCTGACATTTCGAGTACTCTTACCTCAGTTGGTCCCATAGAGACTATTGATTCTTAACAGAGACCGAATCGAATGGCGTAAAAAGAAAGTTTTGTAAAAATTGCCTTTTGTCTTGCTAACTGTACCATTTTTTCAAAATCTGTGAATGCCAATCAAAATATCTTCAAAATTCATGGATAGTCTTCTAGAATCGTTTTCCTGTAACTACAACGTTTAAGGTGGCTGGCCTTGCTGCCCTGTCTCAAATTTACACCCTGTATATGAGTAAAAATATTCAAGCTGGAGTGGAGTAGTTGGTGTAGTGATGCCAAGCGCCGTCAGATGCCACGTGTATCATTTTTCATTCAATGTGTATGTAGAAACTCAGACCAAATCATTAATATAATATCTATTCATCATACGCTTATTTTGTGACATTTATTCACACTATATACGTGCATATTTCGTTCATATTTTCACACAAAGAGTGGAAATTCTTTTTCGCACTGAAAACGTTTGTATAGGCTGAATTCTATATCACGTTGATCAATGTAACTTCATGAATAAATCTTATAACATTACTTGGCCTGCTTGTTATTAAAAGTTTTCTCGTCATATTGCGGATTGAAGAAATTTATTCTACTGATAGGTCAAATATTGCACAATATTACTAGATTAATTGTAGCGTTAGGCCAATTTTTCAGTGCAATATTTTTTGTTAGGATTCTAATCATAAGCAGTAATACAAGTCAAACTCGTTGTATCTGTATTCCTATTTAAAATTGTAAGGTAAAGTACAACGACTAATTTAGAATGTATGCTTTAATAAAAAAATAAAATGCTCATTATTTTATGAGATTTAATGACAAATAATGTAGTATTCAATTTATGTCATGAAAAAATACTATTATGATTAAGTATTAAATTAATATTTAATTTTTGTTTGTATGTAAATCCTTGAATTTAAGTACGAGTATGTAATAGAACTTAGTCTTATAAGAAATTTTGTATTTTGACGTACTAAATATTACGGACTTTGACATGACAAATAAAGCTTTTTGAATCTTTTTTGAAACTGAGGCAGACCGTATGGTTTACTCAGTTATGACACCAATGTCAGATATGATAGTTGGCGAAGAGAGAGACCCTTTCGATAGTTTTCTAGATTTGTGGCCTATCTCAATATCCACCTTATTCATCAGGGAAATGGCTTAGCAGCAACTGAACTAATATAACGTGCAAAGCCGACGAATCATACACCAAAAGCTAGGTGTTATTAGTCTAATATAAATTATTTTGGTTTGCGCCACTATTCTTGAAGAGCAGCACATATGTCTATTGTCACCGCCAGTACTGCGTCAATAAATATCTTTTCGGCCTATATTGTTAAACTTATTGTTAAATAATATACGTGATTTAATAATACAAATAAAGATATACTTCAGCAATTTGTAGCTTCCTTCTGTAGTTTCTGGCTAAAGCTTAGAGAATTTCTATTTTGACTGTGGCTGTAATAAACACAAGCCTTTAACACAAAAGTGTACTGTAATTAGTGTAAGACTTTTTGGGGCGATAAAATATTTTTATTATTCTTCGATTTCTAGGTAAATGTGGATCTAGATCTTGAGATAGTGCAATCCCTACAACATGGCCATGGAGGGTGGACAGATGGGATGTTTGAATGCTTGGGCACTACTGGCACAGTCGTCGGCATAGATGAGGACCATGATATTGTTGTCACATATCCCAGTGGCAATAGATGGACTTTCAACCCTGCTGTGTTAACAAAGGTAGGCTTGCCATATTTATCATGATTTGGGTAGTCGGTCCTTGAGTAATCCTTTTTTTTTATTTAAATGACTATTATTCAGGTTTTAATAGTTGACATTTGAGGAATTAAGTTTGAGCCTATTCTGAGCGTCTACTTCCTCTCTTACCAGTAGGCACTGTTGAAGTATATGAGAGGTCATTAGTATTATTATTTGATATTAATTTCGATAGACATTTTCCGAAAGAATAGTTTTTACTATAAAGGGTCCTAATTTATTACCTGATGTTCTTTTTATGTGGCATGTTCAGTACAAGACACAAACAGCTTTAATTTTTAACTTAATGTAAACTAGGAGCCAAACAAGCTGATAAGCCACTTGATATGAAATATTATATTAAATGTATAATTAAATAATAGTTATATAATAGTCCCACAGTTGGGCACAGGCCTCCTCTCAAAATGTGTGTGCTTTAGTTCCCACGCCGCACGACGGGCCCAAATTGATAATTCTTGGACATAGGATTACTTGTGGAGTATCGTGCAAATTTTTTGCTATGTGATAGACAATAATTAACATTCCCAACAACTTTTATTCAAGTAAGTAAAGGTACGGCAAAATTGTTAACTTTTTTATGTACTTTTGTAACAAAATTCATGAGCTTCGACTAAAGAAAAATTAATTTTAATGTAATTTAGAGAGTGTGAACAATAACTCGAAAGTTAAGTAGAAATTAGTATATTGTGTTAAAAAATAAATAACAAATCTATAAATTTGCCACCTTTTTACTCGTAAAACCGCAAGTACCTGCTGATGGATTATTTTTTTCTTGATAGAGAATGATTGGACCTATACTGTAAATAAACCACACACAAAATTTTAGATTAAAAAATTAATATTAAAAAAATAATATTTTATTTATTTATTTATTTACAAGAAGAACACAAACAGTTACATATTAAACAAGACAATATAACAAACATTGATAAGAATAAATAACTAAATGACTATTTTAGAAAAAATATTACTTTTTTTCCGAAACTATCAACTTTTCAAGAAATTATACAAGATTAAAAGTTGTTAGGAATGTTATTATCTGTCATATAAAAAAAAAATTAGCTCGATGCTCCAGAAGTTATTCCTGTGTCCAAGAATTATCAATTTGGGCCCAATGTGCGCCGACCCAATGCGGGTTGGAATTATTACCATTATTATTCTTATAATTAATATCCGAAATGCAATGCAATCGTAAATAAAGAGAGAACACATTTTAGCGATTCTATGGGGTCGGTCGGTTGAACCCTTTAGTAAAATTTGTTTCATTTCATGAACCAAAAACGACCTTAAAAAGACACCAATAATAGGGATCCAATATGAAATTGCCGTTCTATATCAGACAATTAAAAAAAATGTTTTAGACATTTATTCAATTAAAATATCCGATTATGATTATGTCAATACACTTCTGCCTTTTTTTTTGGAAATTCATGTATTCCTTTGTGGTACAGTAGGTGGGAACGAAAACCCATAAAGACTTGGAACTCATTTTCTACTTTTACGGGAGCAAAATTATTGTAGATTGTATGAATTGGTGTACAGTATATAATTGCGAAAAAAATTATAATTGACAGGGGCCAAGTAAGGTGAGTTCCTGTTTCTACTACTTTTTTAGACACTGTTAAGGCAGGGGTTTAACCACTACTTTTTTGGCACTGCAAAGGCAGGGGTTTAACCACTGCAGGGTTTTTGCTGAAGCGCAGGCCACACCGCGAACGAAGCTAGACAACTTGGCTTAGCTGACGTAGTTGCATGCAAAGCTAAGCTAAGAAAATACTAGTAAATAGTGACTATGGATACGTGTGGGGGCGAAGGGCGCCAGAAGGGTGACGTATTTTACATAGCTAGCGAGATCGTTGGGTTACTTTAGTTAGCTCGGTTAAATGCCCCGGCTACGTGAGCTATGCTAAGTTATCTTAGCTTCGCTAGCGGAGTGGTCTGCGCATGATGCAAGTTACTTACACTTTAATGGATACGAATCACTAACATCATCATTCATCAATCATTAACATCAGCAGATGCTGATGCGAACGCTGATTTTATGTTTAAAAAATTCGTGAATAATGTACAGAGCTTTGGCGAATCTTCATGAAAAAGCTTTTTAATGATTTTGATTTTATTAATGATATTGTGATCTTTAATTTTGTTATTAAACAAAAATGCACCTGCATAAAATCAATCAGCCTGTCTAGCTGGATCATTCTGAAATTTTCACAAATGTATGAATGAAGCTTGAGCTGATTATTGAGCTCCCAGTCTATTTCTGAATGGTTTATAGGTTTATAATATTACAACGCGAATATCCGCAATGAATATCAACATAATGCAGAAGCTGATGCGGATGTGGATATTTAAATTCATGCGGATGCAGATGATATTTGCAACAACCTTGAACTACTGTGTTAATTTTTCTTTTTTTATTTATTAGGGCAGTGTATGCTTCAGCTCACGTTGACCTTTGTAGTCCAGACAATATGTGTAATATCTATTTTTCAAGTTTTTAATATTAACAATTTGGTAAAAAAATAATATAAGTATAGTTACATCAAATAATGCTGATAATTCGTTAGTAGTTTGCGATAGGTCGGTTTCAACGATAGCTCGCAACTCGTCATTATTCACCTTAAGCTCTTGTCTTCCACGAGGCTTATTTGCCTGGTAATAATTTGCAGTATGGAATCGGATAACCCAAAACCGCACATCGCCTTCATTATGAAATACAGATAAACTATATTTATAGTTTAACTGTAACATTGTAATATTGCTTCGTTAGAAATTAAGTTTACTTTTTTAAATTTTATTTTGTCATTTAAATTCTGGAGATTGAACAATAAACATGTTTCTATAAACAACGTCTATTAATCATATGAGAAATAGTTAAAATCTGCTTGAATGAATGAATGAATGAATGAAATATTCTTTATTGCACATAAAATTACAATTAAAATACAATACAAAAGCTTAAGTATAATAGTAGTAGTAAGTCAATGTGCAACAGGCGGCCTTATTGCTATGTAGCAATTTCTTCCAGGCAACCTTAGGATAGACATTTCGGATATGCAAAAGGGGTGCAACCAAAGAATATCATCATAAGTACACTACATAATAAGTAATAATAAAAATATATACATATCATAGATTAATATACATATACATACAAATAACAATAATATTATTAATACATACATAACAATAAATACACAATAATATTAAATGCTTATATACTTTTAATAGAAAAAGAAAAATGAAGTACAAATGTAGGAAATAAATGAAAGGATAGTAGAGAACAGACGAAGTTTAGGAGTTGAGGAAGTGATCCTTGACACGTTGTTTGAAGGAATCAAGAGAAGGGGATCGTCGAATCGATTCAGGGAGAGAATTCCACAATCTGATCGCAGAAATGGTAAAAGAGTTGGAATAAAAGTTAGAGGTATGAGAGGGCAAGTTAAGTAAGAGAGTATCAGAGGAGCGAAGGGGACGACAGAGTGTAGAAGAGTGGAAAGTAAAGCGATCTTTAAGATAAGAAGGCGTAAAGGGATAGAACAGAATTGAATAGAGAAGTGAAAGAATATGAAGATCTCTACGCCGATGGATGGGCAGCCATTTAATTTGTGCGCGAAATTGGGAGACATGGTCAAATTTACGTAGTCCGAAGATGAACCTAACACACATATTTTGGAGCCGTTCCAATTTATTGAGCAGAGTTACTGACAAATCTGGGTAGCAAACATCTGCATAGTCCAGTATCGGGTGGAGAATGCTCTGGGCCAGAGTAATTTTGGTTTTAGTCGGCAAAAAGTTTTTAAGCCTTCTCAGAGAGAAATGCGCACCAAACACCTTCCTGCTAACCTCAGCAACTTGCGGCTTGATATATGTACGTCGTTAATGTTTTGAGTTGTTAGCTCTTTATTGGGGACTCGTATTAAAAAATTACACGAATGTCATTGGAAGCCTTTTTCATTTCAAAAAAGTTTATTTTCTGAATCTTACTTTATTAAAACTTTATTTCATTTCAAAGAATCAGATCTGTAGAAAACTGCAATTTCTTACTTTAACCCTAACATATTAGGACCATATTCATATTAAAGACAGTGCAACACACGTGTAGGCAGTTCGTATAAATTTGGTTATGTTTACGCATGTGGATAAACTGAATAAAATACAGGGATATTCTAAAAATCCCCACTGGTCAGGAACCTAAAATTTTATTCCACAAATCCCCATTCTACTACTACTTGCTACAGTGGGGATTTGTGGAATAAAAATCCCCCAAATTCGTAGGTTTTGCCGTAACACCGATATTGATTTTCAGCGCTCATTTTCCCATCAACATTACGACACGGATTAATTGTATTTTTATTAACAATTAGTCTTGATCCGGAACTGGTGTTTGATTGTCGCTACCTAGTACGTTAACAGTACATAATAATTGAATAGGTATGCAGCGGCAATCTAAGCGCTTCGACGTCGTTGGGCGCTGCTGCGAGTGGCGGCTTCGCGGTCGGTGACCTCGTACAGGTCTGCTCCGACCAGGAGAGGGTGAAAGCGCTACAGCGCGGCCACGGAGAGTGGGCAGAGGCCATGGCACCCGTAAGTAACATTTACCTATTTTTGTTTTTATAATGTTTTCAATGTTGTCGTGTCTTTTTGGACATTGATTTGTATTGCAAGCAATAGAACTTCTTGTGAAAGCGTTCGTCCAGGGAATTTGCAACACTCAAATAAACCTTGTTAGTTTTGAGAGTGCCAAGTATATAATAAATAATGATTGTAATATGACTAAATAAATAAAAAATTAAAAAATATACTGCCACCTTACCTATTTCACATAGTTGTAACAACTCTTGCCAGGGGGCCTACCATAACCTTTCCAAAAATAATGTAAGCTTAAAATAAGCTTATTATAATATTACGCATATTCGTGCCATAACAAACCTGTCAACCAAGCAATGTATTATTGTTCTTTAACACTCACTTCAACACAATCACTTTTGATTGAAAGAACGAATGATTTTCCAATATTGTCTATTCGTTACTAAAAATAAGAAAGAAATAACGCTATATGAACTATATAATGCCATCTCTTTCTTTTTCGATGTTCCGAATCATCTTATCATAGTATAATGTTTAAGTACTTAATGTTATTTACATTCAGAGAATTTTAACTGTTAAAGAAAGAAAAGTATTTAATAGTAAAATCTAGTCAAATTACGTTCTTTTCAATTATTTTTCGGCATTTTCATGAAGATAAAATAAATAAAACAAGCTGAGTCTTGATTGTCACGTTATGAATTCGGAATTATAGTCTAGTGTCAACTGTTAATGTCGCCAAGGAGCATATATATGTCGCTGTCATAATTTTACGAAATAAACATCGCGTATTTTGATTTAACGAGAAATGATTTCCAGTGTACTATTAAATAGAAAATAAACAAAATATTGAAAAGATATATGTAAATAAATAAGTTCCACTTAACTTTTAATCATTACAAATCAATATTTAGACAATAAATTCGAAAATAATATTATTTCCACTGCGTCCGAGTAACTATTTTAAGATAGCTAAATTTGACATAATAACAATATTACTTTAATGTTAAAGTCGCGTCATAGTACGAACTGAGTGAATGAACAGTCACAAAGCTGCCAATAAAACATCATAGTTTTAACATTATAATAAGCTTACTTTAAGTGCGTCATGGTACGAAAAGTCAATGTAAGGTTAAAAGTAATATTGTTTTAAGAGGTTGTGGTAGGCGAGGTGACGAAATGCTTTGCTAGATTTGTCATAGATGGCGCTACGGCTAAAAAGTCGTTGAAAACCAAAGATCCGACGACATAGAAAAATTCGTGAGGTCCGTTGGTTCGTTCCGTGGCTTAGTTAGCATAGCGTCTGGCACGGTTTGCTAGGAGACGTCGGTTTGAATCCGGCCGGATCGAAGGAATTTTTTCTAAGTTTTCGATCTTATACAAACTAGTGGAGTAATTGCACAAAAAAATAGTTGAATATCAATTCAATAAAAATTTAATTGTCGTAACAACTGTTTCAATATTTATAACAAGAACCCTAATTAATAAATGGGTCTTAATGAGTGCACAGAGAATGAGCGTCGAGCTTATTTTTATTTAGAAATTGTTGAAGCGTGCCTCAAGGATCACATTTGGGATCGAGACCGAATCTCAAACGTTAACTCCCTTTGGTAAGATCTTAACCAGCTTAACGTTAACCGAATAAAAACGGAGACATGCAGTTTTTCTTTTGCAAAATATTGTGACTGACCTTATCGAGGGCCTTGCTAAAATCTGTCTAATTAAAAACTCATTAATTCGTTCAATCGGTCTTTCCACAAGTGGAATCAAATCTGTACTGGTGAGCATTTTACGTAATTGAAAACCAGACTTATACGAAACTTTCCAAGTATTTATGCTAAATGGAGAATTCCCTAAAGGCAATTTTGATATCGTCAGAGAACAAGCACTACTTTAGCTACTTTAGTGTAAAGTGTATCAGTTCCCATCGCCCAATGAAGATGGTTAAAGCGCGTATAGTCACGTCAAGACATGAATTTTTTTTATTTTTTTTTATTTTATTCTCAGGTTACAAAGACCCATAAATACATACCTTATAGACATAATAATATTAGACATAAGATAATATATATAATAATATAATAAAACACTATTTATTTACTCGTATGGACTGCGACGTGTAACGCAAATTGGGTGACCGGTAAAACTCCTCCTTCATGTAGGTCGACAGATGTTGAATCGATACTCCTCACCATATGAATTAAAATTCACGTTGTGAATTGGGACCGGGACCGGGACCTCAACCGCTCGACTCTCAGGGTAGCTGATATGATGAATGACTTTTACCCGTTTGTACTCCACAATATCTGCAGACTTTATTAACAAGGTGTCTTATAAAGTACGAAGTCTATGCAATAATGCAACAATGAACATCCAAGGCGGGTGTCTATATTCTAACGTCGTTAGAGAAGACAATGGCAAAGGTGGTTTTCAATAAGATTACAGATTTAGTTTCTGTTTGCCAGTTACTTATAATCGTCGGTAACCTGAGGTAGAAAAAAATGATTACCGCCTCTATTTATTGTTACAGACGCTTGGAAAAATCGGTCGTGTACAGCAAATTTATCACGACAATGACCTTAAAGTGGAAGTGTGCAACACTTCGTGGACTTACAATCCCAACGCGGTCACTAAAGTAGCTTCATCAGATGGGAGCATTCCGGGGAATTCTTCAGGTATGCAATTAAATTTTAAAAACTCAAAGTTATTGCTTTTGGGCATTGTGCTAGTTTTGTGCTTTGCTTCTTGTAACTCAGTGAAATAAGATTTTAAGCTCATTTGTTGCCTTTCGCGCATTTCATGCTTTTGGACTTAATGCGCGCCGTAATAGCTTTGAATTTTTAGAAAACAAGATGATAAGGAGTGAAGAGCAGGTTTGTGTTCATATTTTCTTCCAGGAGAACGCTTATCTGCCCTTTTGAAGAAGCTATTTGAGTCTCACGTGGCTGGCGACGCGAATGAAGAGCTGGTAAAAGCGGCCGCGAATGGCGACGCGGCGCGATGTGGGGATGTCTTAGCACGGACAGATGGCGCGCAGGCTGATGTCAACGGTGTCTTCGGAGGGCACACTGCACTGCAGGTACTTAAGAATTATATGATCAGGTCACACTAATGAAAATAATTTTTTTCATCACACTTGCTCGTAAACAGTGTCATGACATGCAGGCAAAGTCGACCGTAATGTCCCGAATTCTTTTTTTTTTTTTTTTTAATTCTGCCTACGGGCTTTTTCATTACATTGTCGCCCTATAGATTTTTTAAGTCACGATTAAGCAAAAAGTTTTTATGCACGTAAAATGTGAACGTATATTTCACGTAAACTTGAAATATATAAAAAAACTGAACATTTGCAATTTAATTTATTTTACTAAATTTATTTTGTGAATTCAAATTCTGCAGTATTTTTAGAATTTGGAAATTATTTATTTTATATCTAACACATTATGGCTGCATGCATCTGTGCCGTTTATAACATTTCAGTTCGAGTTGTAATTATTTATAGAAGAATAGCTGGCAATCGGTTAAAAAACCCGCCATTTGCAAAATTGTGCCTATTTCCTCGTCAATGTAACGAAAAACATTGTATGTAGCACAGGCGTTAAAAATACAAACCTCGAGTCATTAACACCCTCAGCCTCTAACTTCAGGCTTCTCACAAAATCTCCTTAGCAATTTCTTATTTACTGCCCTTAATACACAATGTATATCTTTTTCTAATGCATTAGTATTAAAATACATGTATTTGTTATTTACTCAGCCTATACAGAACAAGTTGTGAATTTCATAAATACCTTCGAAAGAGTGTAGGTTGATCTTATTTCCAGTACATTCGGTCTTAGTCTATGACATCGAGTATATAACCAGAAATAGAGACGAAATGCCATTTTATTTGTTTGAAAATGTTCTGCCAGATTATTACGGTGACAACTGTGCTCCGATTGGCCAGTCCAAATTCGAAACAATGGACGGGTGTCGTCAATTGTTTCACTTCAAATCGACCAGTTTAACTTAAGCTTTGTTATAACGGACGAAAATTTAAAAATTACATATTTAATATTTAATTACCGATGAAATGTGATTCCGTTGGTTTTGTAATTAGATGTTTTGCTGTTTTTCCCACACCACCGAATGGAACACCCCCCATTGTTAGAGATATTATCTTTATTACAAGTACTTGGTAATTGGTGCAATGGACTGGTATCCGCAACTCGACGACAAGGCGCCTATTTTTCGTGTGGTGGGTGCAGAGTCCTCGTACTCGTGCCACCCAAGCTCTTCCAGGAATCTCAGCAGCCTTCTCGGTTTGCTGAAGACTTCGGGGAACGACCTTGGCACTCCAAGGTACTTCGCGCTGTAGTTGGCCACACTGGAGTATTGTATACTACATTGCTCCGGCGAGTAGGATGTGCGCAGCCGTTTCCTCCCCCTCCATGCACGCTCTGCATAGAAGGCTGTCTGTGATACCTAAATTAAATAGGTGTTTATTGTATGGACCGTAACCCGATAGGGCGGCAGTTAGAGTGCGAAGCTCTTGCCTTTTAAGTTTAATTAACATTCGAGATAGACTGGCATTGAGCGTTGGGAGTGCTTTCCTCGCCTGTCTACAAACCGTAAGGGTGGCCCATGTATTATTATGTGAAGATTTTGTACCTTTGTGTATAGCTGTTCTGGACTATTGATAGGGGAGGGACACTATGGGTTCTGGTCCTACAGCGTCCGTCTCCGACCCTTTTCTGGGTAATTCATCTGCTGCGTCATTGCTACGTAAGCCGCTGTGTCTTTAATCCACTGTAGAGTTACATGGTTTTGTATACATATCTCCATGAGTACTTGATGGCATTCGTAAATGAGCTCTGAGTTTATGTCATAGCTGTTCAGTGCTTGAAGTACTGACATACTGTCGGAGAGTGTTCGAATTGAATAATTCTTTACTCTTCTCGCCATCTTTCCACAATTCGGAGAGCAGCTTGTGTAATGTCGCAGAGTATATTGGCATAATTTCCTGTTACCATAGTTATGTCATCAGCATATCCTACTGTATAGAAATGTTCTTTGTTTAGTTTAATGATGAGGTCATTTACGATCATGTTGCACTCCTCCGCTCCTTGCGCGAGGCGCTGACATAGGGCCACCTGAACCATGTCGGCATCGGGGTTCCGTGTGTAGCCGGTTTTGGCTGATGTGATCACCGCCGTGAGTTCTGGCCTGGTGGCCTCGGCGTAGGTTCGATGCTGGGCGGGCCTCTCAACCTTTTGCCGCTTGTGCTCGCCTCTAGGAGATATTGCCTCGTCAAGGCGTTTGACAATGGTCGAGGACCTCTGCATGCAGAGGTCCCCTTCTGGGAGGGGGCCCTTCCAGGGGGGTGCGCGACCGACCCATTTGACCGTGCTGATGCAGTCCCTGGGCCACTCGCGCCACCCACTGGGGGCCTCGCCTCTCCCTCCTTCGGCAGGGGGTTGTTTGCGTTGCGACGCTCGCGTTCTCGGCCTTTCTTGTTTTTTCGGACAGGGCGTCCCCTGCTCCCACTAGGGGCTGGAGGTGGACGCTCGCCGTGGTCACTTGTCCCTTCCTTACGGATGGGTGCCGTGGCCTTGGATTTGGGCTGGCGACTCACCAGGGTCCACCCTGCCTCAAGGGCCGTGTTTGAGGGGTTCTGCAATGCAGAACCCGATGTGTGAGCGAGGGCCGCAGAACCTAGGGTTTGGGCCACTACCGCTGGTGTGGTGCTAGCACCAACATTGGTGCTCGGCTGACCTTGGGGTTTCCTCTTTGGCCTACCACTCACCGTAGGGCGCTGTGTGTTTTTATGTGTTGGTGGTGCACTTTTGGGTTTTCCCTCCAGTACCGCCGGTTTTGGGTTACTAAATTTTGACAAAGAAAGATCGTTAGTGTCCATGTTATTATGTTTTTTTTTAAATTCACTCTTCTGACTTCCCATCCACCACGGAGCCCGCACCTTTGGTGATGTCCCATTCGGGACACCAGGATTGTCAGGAGAGTATAGGTGCAGGAGTTAGGAGCTCACTACGCGATATCGGGGGCGCGAAATCTTTATTACAATAAATACAGAATATTTTTGGAATATACCGGGATGTACACACAGGTCAGTTGTTGGCGCTGTACTATTTCAGCTTTCTAATTTGTGATTTCAGCGCAAACGAGAGTTGACATTTAAAAAGTGATATAAGGCCCATTTGCCTGATGAGTTACCCTGGGTGGATGACCCTTATTTCGTCTCTGTTTCTGGTTATATACTCGATGGTATATGAGTATAACTGTATACATTATAAATTACTTCGAGATAGCGATTTCCAAATTGCGGAGAACTTGATTCTTACAACTTGGTACTTAATTGGACGGACGTGATGCAACGTCCAAAACTTCGACGTAAATTAAATATATTATTTATATTAAGTCCAGATTTTTTTAAGACAATTATTTTTGAAAATCGTGAAAGTTTAATTCAATGAATTGATTCTTATTCGCTGGTGTGTACCAAAACTTGCACACGAACTCAAAAAAATATTATACTTGAAATCATGATAATTGTTTTAACGCTTTTGCTAATTCAGGAATTCGTCTTTATCATAGGTTCCCAAAGTTTTCGGCTCACCTTACCTCACTTAGGCAAGATAAAAAATTTCAACGCAAAAAATAATTAAAAACGCGTACTTTTTATATTAACTTAACACTAAGGGTCGTATTCTAGAACTCTACTCAATGCTCAAGTCGGGATTTGAGTATGGTTTAAAGCACTCGAAATCATACTCAAGTCTCTGCCATTAGGGTCGTATTTCCAGTGCTTGTGTTTCAATTGCATTCCTGACTTGAGCATTGAGTAGAGTTCTAGAATACGACCCTAAAAATCACAAGGAGAAAAATTATATATATGTAGTATAGTTTATATAGATAATTCAGGTTTTTTTTTCAAATGTTGCACCCCCTAGACAGCATCAACGCCACCCAATTGCTTCCGAGGGCCCTACCCCCCCTTGGCCCCCCTGGGACTCTTTATTGCCCACTGTGGGGCGGTAGGGATCACTTTGGGAAACTATGGTCTATTTAACAGTTTGTGATATATATGGCTGGATATAACTATATTAGGTATTTTAATATAACGGATATATATTATTGGCGACGATGACGGATGAGCTAAGGAAAATAAAGATAACACGGACAACTATACGTGCACAATTATCAAGATTACAAAATCATCTAAGTACTGAGTGTACTCCTTAGACGAGTTCGAACACAACTTCTGCCTAAAAGTTTTGGAAACATTCGAAGAAAAATTTACCAACATTCAATACCAAATTGAAAATTTAGTAGGTGAAGATAAAATCACCCAAGAAATTGAAGAACGTAGTCTGACACAATTTTTACCTGATATTCTCTCCAATTGGAGAGGATGTGGTTTATATTTTTCTGTATCTAATGGAGCAAGAAACATGTTTGACGTAATTCCACTTATGCTATTCCTCCATGAGGGGTGTGATAAGTGTATTTTATTATAACAAATATATTGTATCCTTCATGGAAGAATGGCATAAATGGAGTTCGTCAGAAATGTTTATTGCTCCATTAGATACTGACAAATATAACCCACATCCTCTCCAATTTTTGTGACTCTATCTACAATATTAGTCGATAGAGTTACAAGAATGAGAGGGGATGTGGGTTGTATTTTTCTGTATCTAATGAAGCAATAAACATTTTTGACGTATACTTATACAATTCTTCCATGAGGGGTGCGTTATATTAGTTTGTATGAATAAATAATAGAGGAACATGTTATTTGTACAGGCGGCTGCTCAAAATGGACACGTGGAAGTGATCCGCACCTTAGTGGAGGCGGGGGCGGAGGCGGACGCGGAGGACCGCGACGGAGACCGCGCGGCGCACCACGCGGCCTTCGGTGACGAGCCGGCGGCGCTGCGGGCGCTGGCCGCCGCCGGCGCAGACCTCAACGCGCGCAACCGCCGCCGCCAGACGCCGCTGCACATCGCCGTCAACAAGGGCCACCTGGGCGTCGTCCGGACCTTGCTGCAGCTCGACGTTCATCCTAGCTTACAGGTCAGTGATACAATTGTGACGATGCGACCTTTCTCACGTCATCCCACCTTTTATCACCCTTGTGTCTGATTCCTGGCCACCTACATTCAAATTTCGAATCGTACTTTAATTCTTTTTCTTCGTCGCTCTTACTTTTCTTCGTTCCGTCGCCACTCTGTACTAAATTCCCGAAGAAAGCGGACGTGCTCGACTTCATTTCAAATTCTGATCAGTTATACCATTGAAAATCATGTAACCTAACTACTTGTAAAGCGTAAATGGTGAAATTACAGGCACATGGACAATTACATTCAACTTATGTCTCAGGGGGATGGGCGCAATGGCAGTGCCCCTCAGATCTTTGTGACTTAAAGCTTGAGTGGCACTGCATCTGTTATGGATAGGTGTGTAGTATACCAACAGGCGCACGACTTGTTCGTCCCATCATTTAGAATCATAAAAAAAATGTATAAATGCAGACCCTCTTGGGCCTTTACTTTACCTTTCTTCATTTTTCAGTTCTTTACCTATTCCTATTTTACATTAAATGATGTGATTAGGGCCTATGATTTAATTAATCAAAACCTCGGCCAAACAGCTAAGTATAGAAGAAGTTAGAAGCAGTATAGTAAATATTATTAGCAGTAGAGCTTCTCGTGTAGGAGTTCGTCCAGGGAATTACGACCACCTTACCTATTCCTGCATTCCGATTTTGAAGAGCTTCGAGAGCCTTTTTGACATTGTGTCACCTTATAATATTTCTCACTATATAAGTATTATCTTACTATATATCACACGTTTAGAATAACTAACCTAATTTAAAAAAATAAGTTTATACCGTAAAACGACTTTAAAAAGCAGTGTTTTAAGGTTGTTAATTTCGGACTGACACATGAGTAAGTAGTAGTTAGTTTTTGTGAATTATATTTTTAAATCGTTAAATTTTAAAACAATCGGAAATAATTTCAATTTAAAAAATGTCAATTAAAAAATTTTTGAGCATATAAAACTTAATGTTTTGTCATTATTTTCTACGACTGACAAGGCCTATGCCTAGAGTAATAAAAAAAAACTAATAAGTAATAGTAATTAGAACATATTTTTTATAATTTATATTAATTAATAGTTACCGCTAAACGGTCATGTGAACGTTACTGTATTCCGGTTTTGAAGGGTATTAGGTGCTGATGTTATTACTAGTCACTCGGTATCATAACAAAAAAAGGTAGATGAAGAACAACTCGGTCATGTGAACATCATGACTGAATAACTTACGTTCCGATTCGCTGCAGATTAAATTAAGCTGGCACTGCATAAAGAAGCCTATAGCTTCTTCTTTTAAGTGGTTAGTCAGCGGAAATGTTGGCTCTTTTATCAGGCGCCATTCATTTAGTAATTTTGTAAGCAAAGCAATTTATAAGTACCTAATAAAAATACACAAAATTCTCAAACATATTTACTACATTTATGTAATTTCACTTTTTTTTTACGTAATATTTACAAAAGATTAGAAGATTTTTTTTATCTAAATCTATTTCAAAGACTTGCACAACAAAAAGCTTAAATAAACAGTGACACTAAACATTAAACAGAAACTTTTTATAAAATAATAACATATTATCATGTCATATGTAAATGTTTTTTGTCATTAATTGTCACGATTACCTTTACTTACTGTATTTTTTTGTCTAATGAAGAAGGTTTTCTATCACTGCCTCTTTCTTTACAGTTCTTTCTATTTCTAAACAAAACGAAATTAAGTCATTATCATTCTCTGGATAATCACAATTAGCAGAAAGATTTTAACCTATTAGGATTTGATGCAATGTGACACTGTTAAGACTACCACGGTTATAAAAACACGGCACATATGTTTTGTTTGCATTTCATAAGCCTTAAATTGGGTACCTAATCAACTTTGCTAGTACGTACACGCACGACTACGTGCTACTCCAGAACGTCCTATTCAGACATCGAATTTACCTACCAGTACTTTAGCAATTATTCTTTAACTATGGATTAATTGAAAAAAGTTTAAGAATCGCGTGCGGCTCGCTTCACCTCCTTTCGGTACCGATTTGAAACATTTGAACCTAACAATTTGCATGTAAGTAACTTTTAATAATTTAGCTTAATAGACTTTCTTCGAATCGAGCCTCTTGGCTTTTCCAACGTCATGGGAGTGAATTTTCCATACTTGTACTATTTTGTATTTTGTGACACTTCGCAACTGTGTTTTTTATATTTTTACATGGTATTAATGAAATCCTCACTATAACTTATTAAAACTTATTTTGGACATTAAATCCAACATTTGCTTTTACGATTTACGTAAATAATAATTTCAGTTTTTCATCAATTTATTATAACGCACTTTTAGAATGCAAGTGACCTATAATTCTAAAATACAAAGATCGAACACGATGAAAAATTACATCGAATCGACAGAGCTCGAACCTGCGACCACGGGATCGGGCTCTTCCAACTGAGGTAACAGGTCGAGTTAACCGAGTCGACGAAATTATTCTATGTGTGTTTTAATGCGGCTGCCGCGCGGTATCCGGCCAGTTACCACGCTTTCACGTATATTTATGGTGAATTTATTCTGTTAACTAGGCAACAACATTTAAATTCTACTGAATCAAATCTAAAAGACAAGCAAGCCTCTCATTTAAGTTAAAACGTAAAAGCTAAGTAAACAGAGCGTATTTCGCCATGACAATTCGGTCTCTGAACACGTGCACACGTGGACGCGGAATTTCATTGCTCTCGCGAGCGCGATGAAATTCGTGCCGAATAAACGCGCCCTAACCCCTTCACACGGCATTGCACTGCACGTTTTTTTCCAGTATTCGATGTCAAAAATCGCCTCGTGTAACCGTTGTAAGCCGTCGATAGAATTTTTCTTTGTATTCCAACTTTGTATTTAATAATTATAGCGAAAGTGACCTAATTCAAAAAATTAAAGAATTGTGTTTATACCGTAAAACGGTTTACACTTTAAAAATAAAAATCATTGTTCATTCGAATTCATCATTCATTGATGATTCGAATGGCACTTAATCTGTTTAGAATTCCACTCCCGCGTTGTACGCAAACGCCACATTTACTGTTGAATCTGTATCTGTAAAGACATCACGCCGCCACCGTAGTTGAAAAAGTGACGGATTAGCAAGTGAGCCGTTACGTTCCGAAAGTCAAGTTTCACAAACGCGACTTACTTTATTACTTACAGGACTCGTTTTCACAATTAAAACGGCTTAATCTTGATAAAGTCATAACATCTTGCTTAGCTGGTGAAAACGAAAGATATTTAAATCTTGTTTGGTCAAATAACAACAAAAAAGTTCAGTAAAAAAATGACCTTATAGCGACTACTTTTGTAAATTATATTTTTAAATTGTTGAATATGAAAATAAATCAGACTCTATTTTTAGGATATAAAGCTGAACGTTTCATCATTATTTTGTAGGACTAACAAGGCCTTCAAGTACTAAATTAAATAACTAATACTAAATTAATAAATTAAATAATGTGAAGTTGTTGAAAACTTCCGAAGTTATTTCGATTATTCCCAAAAAGTTGAAATTATTTGTTGGGTCACTTTCATTCTAAAGGTGCGTATGTTATCAATTACGCACTTTAAATTACACAGAACTTTGCGTGCGTAGTACAGGTGTCGTATGTGAGGAGAATACGAGATAACTCCACGAATTTCCAAAACGGGTATAATAAAAACCTTTTATCACACTTGCTCGTAAATAGAATGATTGCATGATGGCTAACTTAATTATAATGCCCCAAAATAAAACCCCCAAGTCTTTTTTCTTCCATTTACATCCGTGGTCGGTAAGGAGATTTTTTGTTTGTAGCTCGAATTACTTCCTTACATAGATTCCTTAAGTTCAAAATTAGAACATTCGCTAAAATTTTATTTAAACAAACATTTAATTGCAACTCAGCCACGTACTACTTAGAGGCTTATTATCATTGACTTACAAATAAATGGACGACGGGTCTAATACAAAAACCACGAAAAAAATGTCCCAAGTCAACCTATTCGAAATTTAAATTGTAATGTCATCGCAGTATCGCGCTGTCAGTAGAACAAATGAAGACTAAAGCGGAGTGTGGCGCTCTGTATACGATTTTAGCGCCTTACAAGTGCGGACACTTTTTAGCGCGGACCCGACGTCCATATAATTGTAAGTCAATGCTTATTATTAAGAATTTCTTATAAATTGATTTTAATTATTTATTGTATAAAAATTTACCAATTTTTCTTTTACAATCCATCATGGCTCTGTGCATCTTTGCTTTTTACAACATTTTAGTTCGAGTTTCTATTATCTATGGAAGAATAATTACCTGGCCATCTGTTGATAAAAAAAAAAGCAAAAAACCCGCCATTATCAAAATCCATAATTGTTGTGTTGTGAACCATATTTATTCATACAGGAACTAAATATTGTATTTATTTCCTCGCAAATGTGATGAAAATCATTGTATGTTTCACGGACTGTAAAAAAATACAAAACTCGAGTTAATAAAACCCTCAGCCGTCACCTTCAGGCTTCTAATAGACCCTCGTTAGTAATTTCTTATTTATCGTACTTAACACACAATGTACTATTCAGTTTTGCCATACTCAATACTCGTGTTTTGGATTGTACTCACTAGGTATTAAAAAAAACAATCTCCTTTCATTTCCATCATGAATCGTGTTACTATTTCTTTTGAAACTCTAACACTAAGCTACGTACGTACTGTACAACGTACAGTACGTACAGTAGTTGATGTGTGTGTATATATATATATATATATATATACATCAACGTCTTAATGCTTGCAGTAATCTCCGTCAGATTACACTCCTATTCCTTCAATAGATATAATACATATATAGCATGTGGGACTCTCAGGTCAGTGAATAATTGCCGTCTACGGGCGGTAATTCAGTGTTCCTATCGGTTATTAAATCAGTGCCTCTACCATGAGTTTCAGGGACAGGTGTCACTAAC